GAACTTAATGGTATTAGTGAGCGTCGAAATCGACATATTGTTGAAACAGGCCTTACTTTACTCCACATTGCATCCTTGCCATCCAAGTTTTGGTCTTTTGCCTTCCAAACTGCTGTCTACCTAATTAATAGGTTGCCAACAGTGACCCTGTCCTCTATATCTCCCTTAGAAAATTTATTTAAAGTCAAACCAAATTACTTAAAGTTGCGCATTTTTGGTTGCTCTTGTTTTCCATGGCTTCGTCCCTATAATAATAATAAACTACAACATCGCTCTCGTCCTTGTATTTTTTTGGGCTATTCCCCAGACAACTTGAGTTACAAATGTTTTGACATTTACTCTGGAAAGATTTTTTCTTCACGCCATGTTATTTTCAATGAAAACCAATTTCCCTATAATACTCCTACTCTCCAAAACTCTCTCTCAAGTTCCCCCACCCCTAGTTTTTCTAATTCCTCCTTTCCTCATGACTTCACTGCACAGCCCGTTCCCATTGACATTGCTTGCCATCGCCCGGCTGTTGATCGCTCATTGTTGCCTCTTTGTGCTGCGGTTCCCCATCATGCCGTTCCTCACTCACCTGCCTCTTTGTTGGCTCTTACCTCCACCCCTCGGTCTCCTACTCAAAGACCCTGTCCAACCTCAACCCACACAGTCACCCCCACCATAGCTGAATTGGATTCCTCTCCTCCCCTATCCTCCACCCACGCCACTTCTGATGCCATCCCACTACCACCGCCTCCCCCACCTATGCGCACTCATCCCATGGTCCCCCGTTCTCAAAACCACATCTGTAAACCAAAATCCTTACATCATGCAACCATGGCCTCCCCACTCCCTTCACCTGAACCCACCTGTGTGTCTCAAGCACTCAAAGATTTCCATTGGAGATGGGCCATGTCTGAGGAGTTCAATGCATTGATTCGTCAAGGGACGTGGGAACTGGTACCCTCTCACCCGAATCAACATGTTCTTGGCTGCAAGTGGATATTTCGGATAAAAAGGGGCAAAGATGGGTCAATTGCACGCTACAAAG